TTTCTTTAGGTATAATGTCTCTCTTTTTTTTTTTTTAAAAAAAAGGGGGGCTGCCCTAACCGGTTTGGCTCAGCGGATAGAGCATTGGCCTTCGGACTCAAGGGTCCCAGGTTCTATTCAGGTCAAGGGCATGTACCTTGGTTGCGGGCACATCCCCAGTAGGGGGCGTGCAAGATGCAGCTGATGGATGTTTCTCTCTCATTGATGTTTCTAACTCTCTATCCCTCTCCCCTCCTTTCTGTAAAAAATCAATAAAATATATTTAAAAAGGGGGGGGGGCCTGAAGCAGCATAACGTTTCCCCAAACAGTGAAACTCTTATTGTTACTGTTCCTACATTTAGGCTCCCATAGCCACAAAGACAGTGTTTTTTAAAAAATATATATATTTTTTAATAGATTTTAGAGAGAGGAAGGGCGAGGGAGAGAGAGAAACATCAATGATGACAGAGAATCATCGATTCACGCCATTGAGCCTGCAACCCAGACATGAGCTCTGATGGGGACCCCACAATTCTCCCAAAATGGTGGTGTCTCACTGAACTCAACCTCCTGCTTTTCAAGTCAGGAGCCATACTCCTAGAGAGAAGGAAAGCTAACAACAAAAACACCTTTCCTTGAAAAAAAGTTTGAGTCTCAGCTCCTCCACTCACGAACGTGGTGGTCTGAAGAGTGCTCTTTAACCTCTCCAGGCCTCACGTTCCTGCATCACCTGGGGAGAGTCACGCCCATCCACCTACCAGATCTGGAGCTTAAATGAGATGATGCAAACGAAAGGGCCTTCTCATTTGCCTATGGTCCCAAGGGCTGAGTCAACGGAGCGGATCTGACGGTGGGTTTAGGACACAGGGAACTGGCAGTTTTGCCTCAAGGGACTTGGAAGGGGCACAGAAAAGGTCAACCGATCTCGGTGGCACTAAACCCACAACAGGAAGACAGAAATGCAGTGTTTACAATTGTCCTCCTCTGCCCACAATAGGAGCAGTATTTAATTCCATTTGTCACTATTTATGCCTTTTCGTGGTGTTCTGGCAAGAGGAATAACGAATAAAGCACTGGATGTAGGGCACCTCGACTGTGCGACCTTGGGCTCCCTTTAATTCTTCGCGCTTCAATTTTTCTCATTTATAAAATGAGAATCAAACTTCCTGCCTTAACCATTCACCCAGTGTTTGTGAGGATCCAATTCGAACGTATGTTCGCGAAACTCCTCCGTAAGCTCCAGAGAGCCTGGCGACTATTTTCACCAGCAACTGGGCGTCCCTGCTTGCTTGGTTACTCTTTTAGCCTCGACCATTATTAACGTTGTGATTTATAATCACAGAAAGAAATGAAATCCTATGATCATTTCTAGCACCGGATCCTCGGACCCCACCCAAATGCACAGCCTAGCCGCCCGGCTCCGGACAGAAGGAAACAGCCCTTCCCCACCCGCGGGCGGGCCTAGTCCATCAGACCCCACCACTGAAAGTTCCGGAAGCCAATCCCAACAGCTCTCTTGCAACGCCCCGCCCCTTAGAGCTGAGAAACATTATGGCGGCCCGGAAGAACTGCAGGGGCGTAAGCCAATCACTGCAGAGGGCAGCCCTCATCCGGCAAGGCTCAAAGGCGGGGTCATCGGTCAAGATCGACAGCCAAAGCAGCCAATAGAGTTATAGAAAACTGGGAAGGGGCGGGCGCCGGGAGCTCACAGAGCGGTTAAGGCCCTTGAGCCCCGGGCCCAAGGACCCGGCTCGGACTACAAGTCTTCCCTTTATTCACCCCAAAGCTCTCCAACTCACGGTTCCCGACCGGCCGCCCTGCCTGCGGACTATGGGTGGGGGTAGGACGAAGGCAGCGGTGGCTGAACCCGCCTGACAGGCCTGGCCAGTGACAAAGAGCTGGCGGCATCGGGAAGCGATCCCTTCGGGGAGAACAGCAGAGGTCCCTTTAGAGATACGAAAGATGCAACTCACGTTGTCGATCACAACAGGCTGGTTGGCGATAACATCGTAGGACTCCATGGCAGAGGAATCTCTACCTCCGAGGAAGGAACTGCCTGCCCGGTCCGCTGCTAGTGCCACTGACACGCATGCGCAGACTAGCCGCCGGTGCAGAGCGAAGAGGGAGCGGCCCGATCTTGCCTCTGAAGAACTACAACCCCCAACATGCCTTGCACCTAAGGTTAAGAGGGCCAGGCAATTTCCGAGCCACACCTAGTTTCAAGAGATGGAGTGACACAGTACCCTGGGCTTTGTAGTCTCCATGGGTAAATAGAAGGGAAGCAGACTTTTTTCCTTTTGATTGAATTTATTGGGGAGACCAAAATTATACAAGTTTCAGGTGCACAATCCTACAACACGTCATCTGTACACTGTATTGTGTTTTCACCACCCCAAGTCAAGTCTCGTGCATCACCATTTAGCCCTCCTATAACCCCCATCACCACACTGCTATCTGTGTCCATGAGTTTTTTCTTTTTAACTCAATCCCTCCACACACACCCCCCGCCCAGCTGTCAGCCTACTACCTATGAGTCTCTATTTTACTTGTTAGTTCATTTTGTTCCTTAGATTCCACATACCCTACATAATAAAAGGCTAATATGCAAATTGTCCCCCAGGGAGTTCCACCAACCAGGAGTTTGACGGCCCACTATGATGTGCACTGACCACCAGGGGGCGGCGCAGAATGAAGGAAGGCTCCTATCGGCCCTGATTGCTGGCTAGGCCTACAGATCCTACCTGTGCATGAATTTCATGTACTGGGCCTCTAGTGAGAAAATAATATGGCACTTGTCTTTCTCTGACTGGCTTATTTTACTTAGGACTCTCCAGTTCATCCATGCTGCCACAAACGGTAAGATTGCCTTCATTTTTACTGTCCAGTAGTATTCCATTGTGTAGATGTACCACAGCTTTTTTTTTTTTTAAAAAAAAATCTACTTATCTATTGATGGGCACTTGAGTTGCTTTTAGAACCTCCCTGTCTGCAGGGTCCAGAGACCTTCTTGCTGCCACTGCCTGTAATCTTTCAGTGATAACAAGAAGGTATTGGTGGCCCACTGAGTTTTTTTCCCTATGTGTACCACAGCTTTTTATCCACTCATCTACTGATGGAAGCTTGGGCTACTTCCAAATCTTGGCTATTGTAAATAATGCTGCAATGAACATAGGGGTGCACATATTCTTTCAAATTAAAAAAAAAAAAGAAAACATTACTTTTTGAAAAGTTATTATAAACAGGAAAATAATTCCCAAGCTGGTGCCTTAGGAATTAAAAATTCTCTCTTTAAGAGAGTCAGAGTAATGGAGAAGGGCAGGCCCATAATAGATAATGAATATCTGCATATATCTGCCTAAAGCACAACAAAGAATAGATTATCATCACTAAAAACATTGATTAAATAATTATCACTTTAAGAATTGATCCTAGCTTATTAATTATTACTTTCCTGTTTTTTAAACTCGTGCATCACCATTTATTTTTATTGATTTCAGAGAGGAAGGGAGAAGGATAGAGAGACAGAAACATCAATGATGAGAGAGAATCACTGCAATGATGAGAGAGAATCACTGAGGACCGATCCTGCCACCAGGCATGTGGTCTGACTGGGAATCTAACCGTGACCTCCTGGTTCATAGGATGATGCTCAACCACAGAGCCATGCCCCCAGGCCAATTCTTGTTACTTTCTGACAGAACTCCAAAATAGGTATTTTGACATAGGACCCTTGAATTTGGCAGTGTGTCAGTTAATATGGTCAAAGGACATTCAAAGATATAGGAAACATTTAGATTTATATTTTTTAAAACTAATGTCACATGGCCCAGAGGGTGTGGCTCTGTGGTTGAGTTTTGACCTATGAACCAGGTCACAGTTAATTCTCAGTCAGAGCACATGCCTGGGTTATGGGCTCTGTCCCCAGTAGGGGGTGTGCAGGAGGCAGCTAATCAATGATTCTCTCTTATTGATGTTTCTCTCCCTCCCTCTCTCTCTCTCTCCCCCCCTTCCCTTCTCTGAAATCAATTAGAAAAAAACACTAATGTCACATGGATGAATGAATCAGTCCACTGCCGTGCATCGGGCCTCTAGTTTATGTTTAAATAAATATGGGTTGCGTGTCAGCAAACCAGTGACAAGTCCTTTGTTGGTGTACTTCCCAGTGCTTTTGTGGGACCCTAGCACCTCCGAAGGATGCCTTCACATCTCTATTTAAACCTGGGTTCCTCCTAACACTAGGGGGAGGCCAAGAGCTTTGGGACGCCTCAAACGCAGGGAGAGGGAGGAGACACCTACTGCCCAGGCACGCC